GCTTGGTCAACTAAGAGAGAGGCTCCAACTGTCTCATGATAATTGTAAACAACCTTGCCAACTGACACAAATAAGGCAGAACTCTAAAGACCTCAGCTTTGCAAATCCTCTGCTCTCATGACCCCTGGTGGGCATTAAAAAAATAAAAAACACTTAAATTTTAGATTCACAATGTTTTAAAAATACAGAAGACAAATTATATGACTAATAAACAAACACACATGTCTTTGATAACACATGGTAATTATATTATTTAAAACATCAGAAAGAGAAAATAGATTGCTTCTAGTCTTACCTGCTAGGGTTTTCAGGGAGTCTAGCGTTGGAAGAATAGGGGGTGATCTCCTCTGGAGAAAAAAGATGACCATCATTGTAAGAGAGAAATTTGTAATCCAAGAACCAGGAATACTGCTCGTTAATGAGTGTGCTCGAGCCCAACATCGAATACTGAACACCAAGGCTCTCACTCGTGAATCAAGAGCACCATATATATAAAGGAGTTCAGAACTTTTCAAGGCAATCCTTCAAAAGAAAAAACAAAAAAAGAATTTTCAAACCACCAAATTATGGCTCCAGACTAGAATAAAACACATACCTGGGAACATATGTAAATATCTTACCATTTCTGAGTGTATTCAGAACACCATGATCAGATAATCAGAAGCATTATGTATTTGCAACATAAAACTGAATGTGAATGGTTGATTATCAAACACATTCATTACCACTAAAATATTCTTTAAATGTTGACAATCATGATGTAGTTATAAAACTTAGAATTTTTAAATCAAAGTTCCTAAACATGACTTAATTAAGAGAAACGCTACAGATGTGCTCTTTAGTAACTATCGATAAAGACAGACACATTAGTAAGTGAGAGGCTCTACACCTGACTTTCATGCTTTGGTTATCTAGTTCTTGGCAAGCAAGGAAAACACTGTACTAATTTTATCAAGAGTATAAATGTCTTAAAACTCAGGCAAAATTACATACGTCTAACATTGATAAAAACCAAAACCTACGAAGATAAAATGTCTTTTAAAGAAACCGACCTTTAGAGCCAATTTTCAAAAAGCTTCCTAGTCATAAGTTACAATGCAAAAAATTATTAATCAGAAATATTTTAAAGTTAAGCTCCTACTGATCAAAACATGTCTTGTAATGTCCCAAAGAACCGACAGAGGGCACAAAACCATTAACGGTATCAACTTCAAACTGTGAAGTATCAAAACATTTCCTTCCTGAGTTTACAGAGAACAGAAGAAATTGCAAATTGGAAATTCAAGGTGATTACATGTTTTATGTAAATGAATCTGAATTAAGTTGCAAATAAATGTCAAATAGTGCCAGGTATTCGATATAAAGAAACAATGCAGGAATATAAAAACCTGAAAGATTTTGGAACAAATTTTTAAAAACCTGTCCCAACAAGACAATAAAAATAACACTGCTACAGACACAGATGCCATTTTGTTCTATCACACATGCTATACAGAAAATATAATAATGATAGAAAACGCAGTATGTATACTTATTTTTACTCCCTTGGGCTACTTGAGAGAAATTCAGAAGTACTTAGCACTGCCTTGTTAGTGAGCAGGAGTTTAAGCAAAACTGCTCTTGAATGGATTTTCTGAATCTATTGTTAGTACAGATTATCTAACAGATAATGTAGTGAAATCTAATGCATGCAGTGAGAACACTACAGTTCTGACTTCAACTCCTGCATTGAGAAGTTTTCCCTGCTAAGAACAAAAACGATAAGGCGTCAGAGTAGGAAAGAACTTGTCACTCGCACCCCATTTTTTTAAGGAAACAGGCTGCTAGGATAATAAAATGAAAATATGCTAAGGAAAACACTTATACAGACTGAAGCTGCTCCGACCCACTTTCCATCCAAAGCAAACACCATCTGGGTTTAGGACCCTAAATTGTCTATACCCAGAGGTTCAGGGTCAAACCCAATGTGCTACTTTATTTTCTAAGTATACTTAGATGACTACATACAGAAGATCTGTTACAGGTGTTTTCATGGTATCACGCTATGTAAGGTAAGAACAATGAAACAGTTCTCCTCAGATGACGTTAGGTATGTTAACACTTCAAACACAGCGTCCTAACATTTTATTTATGAATATCAAAAAGCCAACAGATATATCTAAGAGAAAATATTTCCAATTTTTAAATCCAAGTATTCAAAAAATTTTGAAGTTATTATTAAAGCATGTATAAAAGTCCAAAGCCACTGTTTTTGTACAAGAAAAACTATGCTAACACCTTATGATATTCACATTTAAGATGACAAAACAAAGATATAGTACCTATTGTTAGTAGTCAAATCACATTGAAATCCAGAGGCCTGGTGTGAGAACCTCACGAGAGGACACCGAGCATTTAAGATTTTTTGTACACCCACACAACCAGGGCCAAAGTGGTCAAGGCATTCTCCTATCACAGACAGGATCTTCTGAGTTGCAATTCTTTCTGAAGGTACATTTTTCACTTGAAATTCCATCAGAAAATTTCCTGAGGTCTGAACAATAAAAACATTTGTAAATGGGAGCTTTTAATAAGAAGGAATTTCTTAAATAAACTCTCTAGAAGAAAGCTCTAAGTCATTTTCAACAAAACAAAACACAAAAAACACACATTCAAGGGGCACCGGGGTGGCTCAGTTGGTGAAGCGTCTGACTCTTGACTTCCATTCAGATCATCATCTCACGGTTTGGGAGATCGAGTCCCATGCCGGACTCTGCACTGACCGTGTGGAGCCTGCTCAGGATTCTCTCTCCCCCTCTCTCTCTGCCCCTCCCCTGCTTGAGTTCTCTATCTCTCAAAATAAATAAACTTAAAAATAAAAAAGAAGAAGGGAGGCTGTGTGGCTCAGTCAGTTAAGCGTCCGACTTCGGCGCAGGTCGTGATCTCTCAGTCCATGAGTTCAAGACCCACCTTGGGCTCTGTGCTGACAGCTCAGAGCCTGGAACCTGCTTCAGATTCTGTGTCTCCCTCTCTCTCTGTGATTCTGTGTCTCCCGCTCACACTCTCTCTCAAAAATGAATAAATGTTTTAAAAAAAAAATCAATGGGGGTGTAGAGAGGGGGAAGGGAAAGGAAGAAAGAAAAATAAAGCAAGTATGTGGAAAGGAAGAAAGAAAAATAAAGCAAGTATGTGGAAAGAAACTGAGTACCTCATGTACTCTTGATAATTTACACTTCCTAGTTCTGGTTCTTTCCTAAGACTCATTCACATTCCTTGCCTTGGGTTCTATGACACTTCCTCTACTTTTTTAAAAATTTTGTTTAAGCTAGTCTGAGTTGGTATCTGTGAATAAGCAAAGAATATTAACTAATACGGTTGACAATTAAGAGGGGAATAAAAGACAGCACCCTAACTGTCTTAACAAATAAAGGACTCGTGGGTCGGCTTTAGCTCAAACGGGGTTACTTCGCATGTGGTTACTAAACAAATAAAAGACTCGTTAAGCAAATTACAGTACATTCATTTAGTGGAATACTGAAAAAGATGCAGTAGACTGAACTGCCAAGACACTATTAACTGGAAAAAAAAATCAGGTTATAATCTGCAAAGATAAAGGGTTTTATTATAAAAAGGTAGAAGGATTTCTACCTGCAGAGGAAAAAAATTCAGAACAAAATTCACTACATTATTCATAGTAGTTACCTCTGCAAGTGGTGAGACCATCAGAGATATTTACATTATACATTTCTGGAACTATTACTCTATAATCAGAAAAAAAGACATTAAAAAATATACAGGTGTGACATGTATACAAACAATCCCCAGAAATAAACATGTTGTATTTTCTCTATTTATTTCTGTCGAGACAAGCTTTTTATTAAACTAGGAAACTTTTATATTGAAGAAAAAAAATGGATTTCCTTTAAGAGCATCAAAATTTCAAAAATCTAGCTTAGTCCTTTTGTTAAAAGATCTTAGTAACTTCTGGTTCCCTGGTCTATTCGATTTTAAAATTCAAACACACACCAATTTATATGGGAAGGAACCCAAACAAGAATAACCAACAAATAGAGCACAGAACTACTCAACAGAAAAGTAAAGAAAAAGAAACATCTTCTATCAGGATAAAGCAGTACCAGAAGAAAGAGACAGATTTGAGGTGAAATACTCTCAGGATAGAAAAAAAAAAAGGGGGAATTGGGAGATTAGTATCAGACTAGTATCAGCTGTGTTGGACTCAGATGCAAAGGAAGGGTTAGAAGTACTCAGAAGAAAGGAGATAATGAGATTTTCACTACAAATGAGACAAAAATAAAATCGCTGAGGCAACAAGTGAAAATGACACCAGAGAAAAACAGATTTGAGTAATGCAGTAATTGAGTTCCAGTCTAGAAACTAGAACTAGCTGTGAACTATAGGCAGGAATGTGAAGTTACAGAAGGTATTGGCCAAATACTCTGCATTGCCTTTCTGACATTTAGGAGGGTGTCCCACTCCTGCCCCTCTAAAGTGAAGCACAGCCGCGTGACTTGCTGTCGCCAATGAAATACGAACAGAGGCTTCACAAGTCACTTCCAGGCAGAGCTTTAAAAGCTAGTGGTCCATTCTCCACTGTGCCTTTCCACTTCTTCGGTGCTAGAAGCATGGGCACGGGCGGTGAGAGCTGCTCAGCCTGGGTGCTTAAGAGACCTGTGCAGAGTGCCCCTGCTGACCTGCTTTGGCCACACAGCCTTAGCAAGAGATTAACAGCGAGGTGCAGAGTTTGGGGAGGTGTTTATCACCAAAGCATAACCTGGCCTAATCTGGCTGATATAAGAAGCAAGAGATCAATAACCACATGGGATAATTCTACTTAGATAAATGCACTCCACAGAGAAATAAAACACTGCATTATGGAATAAAACACTGCAATTATGGAAGATGCAGATGATGAAAAGCACATCTATAATGAGCAGAAATAAGACCCCCCCCCAAAAATTACTCTCCTCTAACAAACAAATAAAAATAAGAGAAATTTCTCAGATGGCCAAATCAATAAACATTTCTTACTAATTTTGCTATTCCTCTGCTACCTCTTTGTTTCAGATAAATTTTTAAAAAATTTTTATGTTCTTCCTAGTTACTCTGGTATCATGCCAATATCTCATAAAAATAAAACACAAGGTAAGCGCCTTGCCCACAGCAATAATTTAGAGAAGAGGATAGGACTTGGCCACCAATTTTTATTTCTGTTACCTAAATCCTGTAATACATAAAACCCTATCAGAAAAAGAAAAACCCTATTAGAAAAAGAGCAAGATTTTAGCTTAAAATTTTGTACTGAGGTGCCTGGGTGGCTCAGTCGGTTAAGCATCGGACTTTGGCTCAGGTTACAGTCTCGTGGTTTGCAAGTTTGAGCCCCACTTCGGGCTCTGGGGGGTGTCAGGGCAGAGCCTGGAGCCTGCTTCGGATTCCGTGTCTCCCTCTCTCTTCCCCTCCCCTACTCGCACTCTGTCTCTCTCTCAAAAATAAACAAACATTAAAAAAAATTTTTTTTTAATTTTGTACTAAAATGATATTTGTGATAACTTAGGCAGCACATTTCACTTGTGAGCATCGTTCACACATTAAGAAACATGAAAGTTTACAATTTAGTTGCTAAATAACTTTCCCTTACTCATTAGCAAATCATCTCTTTCTAGTGCCTGTGATGCACAAAATATTCTACATAGTGCTAAAAGACATACAAGAGTCTAACACACTCTTCCTAACTCCCCTCAACTCGGACTGAATAAAATAAGCACCCAGAATTATAAAGCAAGGTGATGTGCCAAAGGAGACACAAACCAAGAGGAGAGGAAGGAGAGTGCACAATTGCACAAAGCTGTCCAAGAGACTCTTTCATGAAGCAGATGAATTTAAAAGTGCTTTTGGTTTTCATTACATTTCATTTTTAATATTTCTAGTAGCAAAGCTATTATAATCTTAAACACGCACATATTTCAAGGTACACATTTATAATACATCTCATTAGTTAAACCTACATACCAAATAACATCAAATTGCTTAGTGAGATTGGAGCACTGTCTTTGAAAACATCTTTTTGGAATACCTCTATATTTCAGAAATCTAAGACCCAACTAAAAGTTTCCAACGCTTACCTCTGCCTCCAACGGAAAAAACTGTGTGTTTCCTACTTGCATAATAATGAAATAACTAGTAATATGGCTGCTGATGGTGATCAACATTGGAACACTTATTACACACTGAGCACCGTCCTATGTGCTTCACATGTATTAGCTCGATGAAGCCCTCCGGCACTCCACGAGCCAGGTGCTATAGCACCAACCCAATCTCACAGCTAGAAAAATCTAGGCACAGAGAAGACCAAAATAACTTATCGAGGATCACACAGCTAGTAAGTAGAAGAATTACTCTTCTCCAATTTGGCTCTAGAGCCCGGGCTTTAGCCATTACAATATATTATTACACTCCTTGATTATTTAGCAAAGTCTTTTACTTAAAATAAAAATAACCTAGCACAACTTAAGTGTCCCTGCCAGGAATTTAATACAATTTCAAGTACATGTTAGTCTTACTAAGAATGATCCATTTCATTTTTATGTGTTTTGTATTACTTTAATTCAGTAAGTATATACTGAGCAGAACATATTGAGTTATGCCAGGCACTGTGTGGGATAAGAAAATGAACAGACATGGTTGCTGCCCTGCCCTAGCTTACGATATAGTGGGAGGAATATATCAGCTGCTAACTAAACATAACACAGGAGGAATCTGGAGACAGAAATATGAGCAAGATACTACCAAAAAAAGAGTAATTAATTCTGAGAAGAAAAAAAATCAAGATGGTGTCAAGAAGGCAGAGTAAGAACTGGCCTTTGAAAACTACCAGGGAACGGCAGTCAGGGAATAGTGGGAAAGAGCACTCCCCACTGAAGAGAGAGATTAGCCAGTATTCATGTTCTAAAAGTGCCTTATAATTTGGTAATTAAACGATGTGATTGGAACACTGGGTAGACAAAGACATATAATGAGAAATCGTTACTAAAATTAATTAAGAGACAGATCATTTCAATACTATGCTAACGAGAAGACCCATTCTATGTCTGTGAGAAGATCCAATCAGTCTTTTAGGATAACTCCAGTACGGTCCAAAGATTGGAAAACCAAGACATGACACAAGAAATGAGGTAGAAAACAGCATACTGTGACATTAATCTAAGTGAGAGTTTATAAGGAACTGTGCCACTATAGCTTTGAGGATGTACATAAAGGGGGAGATACAAGAGATAACTTAGAATCAAAGAAGATGGCAAATATCAGGAAAACGAAAATGCCACTAATTAACATGTGAAACATACCTAAGCACTTTCATAAAAACTCACCAAGAGTATCTACAAAGAATGAAAAAAGTTTTATTTTCAAAATGGTAGGTTCAAGTGTCAACTGGACATCCACGTAGAGAAGATTCCTAGTTTGAAATATGTAAGAGAAGACAGAGGTTTATAAAAACCTACATTTTATAAACACACAGAAGCCTTTTCCAAGTTGTAACTAAATGAAAGCGTCCCTCATATTGTGTGGGAGAATGGCGGAGATACTGGTTCACTTCACCTGTTACATACGCATGTTAATAAGAACTGAATGGAATATATAATTTCCAAACTCGAAGAGGAGAAAGTGGGATGAGGCAGGAATAAAGCAGCAATCCACAGGAATAAAAGGTAGAGGACAGAGAATACAGTCACTGGTACTGCAAGAGCATTGTATGGTGACAGATGTGACAAGACAGACACTTGTGGTGAGGACAGCATAACATATGATCTTTTTAAGTACTGTACACCTGAGACTTATGTCACATTGTGTCAACTGTACTTCAGCTTTATTTTTTTTAAAAAAAAGCAGGACTCCAATAGGAGGAAGGAAAAGGAAATGAAAAGCAAAGATAAAGCACTGAAAAACATAAATAAAAAATAACACCGTAAAAATGAACTCAAAAATTATCAGTAATAATGAATAAACACATTGACTTCAAAGACTCAAGATCAGAGTAAAAGCACAAAATTCAGTGATCTGCTATTCATCAGAGATATTCAAAATACAAGAGCATGTATAAAGGCTGAAAATGAAGATACAAAAGATACGTGAAGGAAGTAACAAGTGGTCATCTTAACAAAAAAGAATTTAAGGAAAAAGCATGTATAGAGATAAAAGACATAATTTAATGATAAATGAACCCAGTCAGAAGATATAATAATCATACACCTATATACCTACACGTTGCTAACACAGCCTTTGAACAAAACAGAAATCAAAAGAATTCCTAGGAGAAATTAACAAAACCAAACAAACATCATGAGATTTCAAAATATTTCAATAACTAGATCACACAGATAAAAAAAATTAGTTAAGATACAGATCATTTGAGTAAGACAATGAATAACCTTGGCCTAATGGAAAAACTTCAGAACCCATGGAAAAAATAATCATTTTATTATGTGTAGAATAGTCACAAAAAATGATTCTACGTTACACCAATACGAAGAAAGACTTTACAATTCCAAAGAGTTAATATCAAATAAACCATATTCTTTAACCACAATGTTTATTGAAGTTTAGAAATCAAGTTATAATTTTATTAAGTCCAAAGATTACTTTTAGTGACCTAAAGCAATACAATTACCTTGTTGGCGCTGAATTTTCCAATTTCATCCAGATCCAAAAACATGTCCAAGTCACATCCCAATTTCCCAAAACTGTTCACCGAAGAGCCAAAGGGTCTGACAGTACAGTCCAGGAAATACGCAGCTGCTATATCTTCAATAAGAGAACACGTCAGGTATCGGAGCTTAGTGTTCTCCTCTGTTAACTGCAATTCCTTCAGCAGAGTGTTCAGCTGATCATCTATCTAGCTGGCCAAAACAAAAGCAGCAACATATAGAAAACGTACAGGTCACATAAGATAGTTGCCATTTTACTTCTAGAGATTCGATGGCTTTGGAGACCGAGCTGAAAAACATGTACTTTTTTCCTTCCATCCTAAAAGCAGGTGTTTTAAAAATATCCTTTAAAAAGGACTGAGGAGTGATGATGATAATAATAATAAAGTGTAAAACCATAGAAAAATAAAAAAAAATAAGTAAATGAAAATAAAAATACAAATGTTGGCACTTCAATCCACAACTAAATTGTCAGCATCTCTGTGGTTGGGGCCAGTAAGCAAAATTTTGGTATGTTTTATAGGCAATTCTGATGAAACAAGTTTAGGAGTCAATTGCTAGTCCAGACCATGATCCATTTATTCGGCAAATGGCTACTAAGTCTCTACGGCTAATGGTCAACCGGAGTATGGTTAGTCAACCAGTCTGCATATAACCTGGGGATCATCTGCCCAAGTCTCTAACCTACTCAAGGAATCTGGGTATTTAATATTTAAATAGAATACACTCAAGCCCACAGCTTACGCACCCTGAGAAAATATCCCTCACAATGTCTTTGAGGATTATGGAGACAAGGTAGCTGGTGTGATCTGAGTTGTGCTGCATGTGCAAAATACACACCAGATCTGATGATTTTTTTGAAACAAAAACCTAAAATATCTCATTAATAACTGTATAGTGATTATATGCTGAAATGCATATTTTAGATTTATTGGGTTAAATAGTTAAATTAATTTCAAAGAAAAAAAAGGACTGAGGAATGATGACGTCGGCAAAAATCAAAACCACTGCATTTCTTATGCAATATGTATAAAGTATTGTTTCAGGAGAATGAAAGTAGTTAAAATGCTCCAGAAAGAGGTCAAAACAACCACAAAGCTAGACATTTTAAACAAAGTTGGGGAGGAAGAAGAACCAATGTTAAAGGCAGGAAACACAAGAAATAAGCAATGCTTCAGGTAACCAAGGCCCAAGATCCCTCAACTCCTCAGAATAGTAATCCTGTATCTTCACCAGAAAACTGGTGTTAAAAACATCACCTTTTGAAACTGTGCACTGGAGTATTTAAAATAAAACTCATAGCTTCAAATGCCCATATTCGGAAAAAATATTGAAAATAACTGAACTACGTGTTCAAATCAAGAAAAACAAGTAACAGAGAGTAAAGAAAATGTGTAAGGTTAGAAATAAAATTTTTACAATTAGAAAATCAAAACAAAAAATAGCACTTTGATCAAAAACATGAACTGATAAAGCCAAAACTAATATAAACAATGTTAGGGCAGCAAAAATAGATTAAATCAGAAATGAGGTTTTTTGGGTTTTTTTTTTTTTTTTTGGAGATACTTCTTATTTTTGAGAGAGCACAAGTGGGACAGGGGCAGGGGGGGCATGTGGACAGAAGATCCAACAAGCTGATAGCAGTGAGCCCAATATGGGTTCGAACTCAAGAACTGTGAGATCATGACCTGAGCCGAAGTTGGAAACTCAACTGACCAAGCCACCCAGGTGCCCCAAGATACTTTTACATTTATAGAAAAATGCCAGGTACAACTATATGCCATTATGTTGACTGAAGAAAGAAAACCTGAATAGTCCAAAGGCTGAAAACTCTGTAAGACTGTGGTTACTTGCCAGGCATACAAGCAGAGTGTGGGGGAGGAGAGTGGGGAAGGACTGCTTTCACTTTTCATTCAACATATTCTGTAGTCTGAATATTTTATAAGAACCTATAATAAAGAAAATAATGTCAAACACACACACATATTTTTACATATTGGAGAAGTATACCTACAAACTTACACTTTCTGCGTAACAGAGTAACTCAAGAAGCTTCTTGCTAGAAGGAGGTGCATGAATACTACATTGTACACGTGACTGTTCTGAAGTCGGGTTTGAGGGATTCTTCGTCTTTAAATTGAAGACACGTGATCTGAATGGAATTGCAGCCTCTGTGCCCATACTTGGAGTACGAGTTCCATTCTGCAGTGAAGTTACACTTTCCTTTTGACAAAATTCTACAACAGCATAAAGACCCTATGCCAAAAACGTAAGAAAAAACAGAACACATCTCAGACTGATATATTTTAAATAGCATTTTTGCTCAAATTTCCAAACAATCATTGTTAATACTAAAAAAATATTGATTTTTTTAAATTTACAAATGATACACTTCTAACACAAGCACTGGTTTTAATCATTACAAGCAGATTAAGAAAAGGAACACTATAAACTGGTAAGAGTCAACACAAGCTGAAAACAATGATGAAAGAGAAAATTAAAAGGCAAAACAAAAATCCCCTCCCCTTGGACTTTATCAGTAAGATAAGAGACTACTTAAAGGATTCAAATAATGGAATCAGTCAGTTATAAATTACTTATAATCCCATAGTAATAATGCCATAAGGATTTTTATTCTCCTATAAAAAGATCATTAAAGAAATTTAAAGAGAGATGTAAGATATCAAAAGAGAATCTAACTTTACCATACTGCAAATAATGAATGGAACCTTTAACTTTCAAAAGCATGAATGTCAGACTGTTTTTCAAATACTTACAAAGCTCTCATAGAAGAAATGATTATTAATAGGTCCATGTTGGGATAAATATTTTAGAAACTTTTTTACACTGATTTTATTTGGACAATGTATCAAAACGGTTCGCTGTGCCTGTTCTCGTCTTTCTTTCTGCACCTCAGAGAATGTCTTTTTGGGAGTCCCGCCTTCAGAGCCTACGAATGAGACAATATTTCCAACACATAAACACACACACACAAATATAAAATGTAAAGCATATTTTGATAAGGTATATACAGATTTTATAGCTGACTAAAACCACTTTATCCAAATCTCATCTTCTTTCTTCTTCGCCTGTAAAAGAATGAAGCTACACTACTTTCGATTTTCATTTACCATTCTCCTGTAATTATCCCTAATACTGTCCACTTTCCCAGTTTTGATTTACTACATTCAATGCAGAGCACTGAAAAGAGAAATATCCACAAAGTTTTAAAAGCCAAATCAGGAACGTAAAATCACCCGTTTAACACTACCCCAAATACACACATATAAAACCTGTACAAGGTTGTAACATACCAAAGCCTAAAAGAAATTATTATAAACCTGAGTGTAAATGAGAATGAAGTTTAGAACTTTAACGTATTGGGGCACCTGGGTGGCTCAGTCAGACTCTTGGTTTTGGCCCAGGTCATGATCTCAGGGTTCATGGGTTCGAGCCCCGTGTCAGGCTCTGCAGAGACGTGGAACCTGCTTGGGATTCCCTCTCTCTTCTTCTCTGCCCCTCCCCCACTCTCTCTCTCAAAATAAATAAATAAACTTACAAAATAACTTTAAGGTATTAAAGTTAAGTTACTGTTGTTTTTCTTTGTCATGGGTCTTGATCTAGCTCAAACAATTAACGGGGCGTTACCAACCACGTTGTGCTGTGTATCACAGGTACATCGACCAATTTAAAACTCAGCTGCTGTCCTTAAGAATTCATGGTAATTTTACTAAAGAAATAGGGGTAATTTCTTTTTTCATTCCAAACCAAACTAGGGCTGGGGGCTTTACCATCACAGGAAATGAAGACAAGAGCTGTAACAGTCAAGAATTAGATATTAATAATCAACTGACCACAAACGAAGAATCAACCACCAAGTAAAGAGTGTATGAAAGCCAAATGCTGAATTTTAGCAACATATTTTTTCCTCCAAGATACGTAACTTCTAGTTGGGTGGCCTAAAAGTGTTTCTTTTAAATATCTGGAATGGTAGATTCTAGAGATTATAAACCACCAAGTCTGGTAACAATACCCACAAAAAATTCCAAAGAGATTAAATAGTACAGAAAATATAACTGATAACATGGAAATCAGCAGATGCTTTTCGACTCCTTTCAAAAGGTTATAAAACTGATAGATCAAGGAATACTGCAAACACACTGTACCTTGATCTCAGCAAACTCCAAGACATTCTCATGGACAAGACAGAAATGTGTGTTAATGCAGTAAGAGCTCACTGTACCCTAAACCCTGTTCGTTAGCAAAGGCCTGGAGGCAGTCTCCAGTGGCACACCACAGAACTCTTAGCCCTGACATACCCCACGTTTCTAACTAATCAAACACATGCTGAGTTTGATTCCTGCCTTCACTGTACGAGATGCTGAAAATACATCTCTTAAATAGGGGTCCACATCTCCATTCCGGATGCCAATTCTTTAACATCAATCTCTTATTTCAAGACCTGTATCACAACAGCCAGATTCCTCAAATGGTCTTATTCACGCTGGTCTTTTCCTTTTCAAGCCATTCTCTGGTGCCAAAGTGATCTTTATAAATCAATCTTTTAAAAAAAGTCGTATTCTTTGACTTCCCTGCTTCAAACCTTTCAATAGCTTCCCTACTGCATTCAAGATCAAGCCTAAACCCAACAGCATGGGGACAGTTATTGGCATTTTGCCCCATCTCTCCTCTTCAATGTCTACCATTTCCTTCTACCATTTCCTCCTTCTGCAGTGTTCACTTAAGGTACCCCACACACTGTGAACTTTGACTATCTTCTTGTCTCTGACTGGAATGCCCACCTTCTCATTTTCTGCCCCGAACACTCCCATTCATCCTCCCATAGGTCTGCGAAGACTTCTGACTTCCCATGGTAGGTATCTCCTCCACCTCCGTATTACCTTACTTCAACATCTGTGAAAGAACGTAATTCACGGTGTTGTAATAACTTAACAATATGGAAGAATATATGTCTTCTAGATATTGAGGACAGAGACTATTACTATTAACTGTGATCTCAAGTCCACTGACAGTCCTTCCAATTAGTCCCTATTTCCTTCTTCTTCTTTTTTTTTTGATATAGGCTCTGCCTAGACCACCTCACCCACTTTTCCCTTTGTAACTACCACTTACACATTGTCTCTGATTTTTACGGAGTCCAGACTGTTGCCTAAATGCTTATTGTAAAAGTAAAGTCAAATTATTACATTTTATAAAGTTTAAGTATAAATCCTTCCCTAGTTCTCTGCCCCTAATAACACTCAACCATTAAGTTTGGTACCTATGTTTTCATACATTTTTAAGGCATATACAAATATTTGCATTTCTCCACAGGTAAACATTTTTTACACAAAATTACCAAAATCATATTTCACATTGTTTTATAATATGCCTTTAAAAATTTAATACACTGGGGATATCTGTATCAGTATATGTCTACCTCATTTTAAAAGTAACTGTGTAAAAAAAAAAGTAACTGTGTAAGTATTCTTGTTAATTTATCACAGTTTAGCCAATTCTCTACTGATATTCACATGGTTTACCTCCTGTCACTATTACAAACAATACGGCAATATCATCTGCATACGATGTCTTTGATTTTTATGCAAGTATATCCCTGCAGCTGATCACTAAGAAAGAGGAGAGACTGAATTTAAGATTGATAGAGAAGTCTGATAAAAGATGAAGAAATCTGCTTAAAAAGCTGGGAGAGGTACAGTACAATCTAAAGTATTTACAGCTCTGGCCTGAACAACAGTAGGTAAAAATGATGAGGACAAAGTTGTGAAGGGGGGACAAAAAGTTCAGGAAGTTTAAATTTATTCCCTCATAAAAGGTTTATCAAACCTACGAATAACACAAAGTTGAGACTGAAAAGTAATAAGTGCTAATATTTTATGACAGACTCAATTTCAATGGTCTTGATGACATAATCTGGTAAGCATAAACTTAATAAAAAAAAAAAACTAAGACTAAATACTGTCCTGCACTTAAAATCGAAAACAACATCGGGGCACCTGGGTGGTGCACCTGGGTGGTTCAGTCGGTTAAGTGCCTGGCTCCTGATTTCGGCTCAGGTCATGATCTCACAGGTTCATGAGTTCCAGCCCCACACCGGGCTCCGTGCAGACAGTGCGGAGTCTGCTCGGGATTCTCTGTTTCCCTCTCTCTCTCTGCCCCTCCCCTGATCGCTCGCTCTCTCTCTCTCTCAAAATAAATACACATTAAAAAAAATAAATAAAGACACAATGACATAATGGGGAAGAAAATTAACCTAGCAGCAGTTGCATACAAGAGGCCCAAAAGTTTGATTTGATGAAAGCTCAAAATGAGTCAAAGCGACGTCTTCACCTCTGGGATGTGCACAGGGAATGAACAGATATAAAATGGCGAGGAGTGGTAAAAGGTCTAGAAGCTGACAGAGAATTACTGTAGATTAAGCGGGATTTGCAGCCTGGAGGAAAACTAATGAGAACCCGAATGCTGTCTTCAACTCTTAACAGCAAACCCTCTGTTTGTGCAGCACTTCAGTTTTCCAAGCCTCCACAAATACGCTCTATTTCAAATATCAGAATAAGCTTTGTGATGGAGCAGGTATCATTACTGGTAAAAAAGAAAAAAAAACTTGCACAAAATCAAATATCTAATAAGCTGGATAGCATCTTCTAGATTGCTATCTGTTATCTGATTGCCTAGCCTCTGTCCCCCTTGTTTAAGTGATAGCACACCCCTGCTGGCAGGAAACCACTCTATGAGGTTGTGGGGGGCTGTCAATATTGTTATCCTACCTAGGATACTGACCCTCATCCCCTCGGAGAGACTAAGATTATCAGACTATTTTGGAAAGCTCCTCTTGGTCCAAGAGGTGGGGGTGTGATCAATCAAAAGCTCCTTCCCAGAATTCTTCAAATTTAGGTATAAGATTATCTTACTCTTCCCTTTGGAAAAGGCTATACGCATGTAAACTTGAAGCTGCTGGTGGTCATGCCTCCATGCAGAAGAATCTGAGATAAGGAGGCCACCAAAAAACAGCTGAAGAAAACACTACCGCACATTGACCATATCCACCCAGTTGACCTTAAAGCAGTTGGCTCTTTCTGGAGTTTGGTTACATGGGTTGGTACATTCTCCCCTTTCTACTTAAGCTAATTTGACTTAGCTTCTGTCACCTGCATCCCAAAGAGTATAATACACTATATACACTATATATTCTTACTCTTAAAATCGGGGTTCTTTTCCACTACTCAAATGAAAGCTATGTCAAAACTAACATGGAAATGGGAAATTAGTAGATTTTAGCTCATTACATTTTCAAACCATTAGAACCCAACCAAGGAAGCAAAAGAAGTGCAGTTACTTCCTTCTCTTTTTAAAAATGGAAAAGAAATTCAAATGATGATTTTGTTGCACACCACAAGAGTCCCTGTATGTTTAGCCAGTTATATGATACAAAATGAAACACATTTTCTAACAAAAACAACAAAACTGTACTAAATGAAGAGTACAGCCTTGGAATCAGGTTTTTTCCTTATCACTGCTACTTAATAGATGGATAAGTTTGAGCTAGCCACTTGGACTAGCCTGTTTTCTCATCTATAAACGAGTAATAACTCCTTTCATACCAACTTTACAGAGTTCTATTTTCTCAAAGAGCATATGAAAATACTCCCAAATTTAAACCACTATTCAGATGCTAAATTAAAACAGCTTCTTTGGCAGAATTCTTACTCAAATTTTCAGAGTTACTTAAGAATTTTTAACAGAAGCAGCTTCTACCAAAAACAATCCAATCAGTATTTTCATGAAAAGTCATGTTAAGTAACACTTCCACTCCCTGTCAATACGACCCTTTATTTACAGTCTGGGGAGAAGAAAAATCCTACCATTTACTTTAGGAGGGAACATTTTACTTGTTCAGCCTACTATAAAACTACTACCAGAAGTAATTTTCTCTCTTAAAACTACAGCTCCAAGAAATGGTAGTAATAAACATTTTGCCTATTAACTTCACTCGAGATCTAAATTAACTCGATATGTAACCTTACACAAGTTGCTTGGTTCTTTTAGCCTCTTTCTACACCTGTTAAGTGGAGACAATGAAACATTTTTTGCTAGATTGTTTTAAAAATTGTACAGAAGATACAGCTCTTGGGGGTCACAACAGGGCTTCAATAATACGCAAAGAAGCATATAAATTTAGAACGTCTCCGGGTCGGCAGCCTGTTCCAGTGAATGCAAACCCGTTACCAGGTTACTAAAACGGCCAAAAGAATAAAGCAAAAGGCAATAATTTTCACAGGCAGAATCCTACATTCGGAAGCGGGGAATACTGTTACTCATTAATGCTTCGATACACCCGTCCTCCAACAGCTTGTAAATCAGATACATTTGTGAATGAAGCAACTGACCGATATGTGGCATCACCGTTATCACTGTATTTTATCAAAGTATAAAATATAAGCAAATTGTGCTCGTGGCCTGAACTTCACAAAAATTTAAACAACTTCATTACTGTGCACAGGCCTCCCCGAATTAACATCACACCCCACTACTACCATGAGGAACGGGTGGCTCTAAGTTCCCCTAGTGAGATTAGAGGAGGATGGGACACAACCTCACCCTATTGCCAAAGGCTCCTCGGCCGTGTCCGCAGGCCACGCGCCCGCCCGCGATCCCAGTCTCTTCCCCCTTCCCTCGCCCGCGGTGGGTCGCGGCTACAGAGCAAACCGAGGACACGGCGCCATCACCTGTCTCCACGCTCCCCGACGACTGCTCTTCTCTTTTACTTTCTGCGGCCACAGTTCTTGGGCAACTGAGAAGCCTGTGGATAGGACGCAGCACTTGACTTCTCTGAGCACATAGGGGTAAACTGGCCAACAACCCCACAGCGCGAGCCGCCATTGTCAAAGTAACAGAGGCAGGAAGAGGAAAAGGGCACCTGGCTCCTGCGCGTGCGTGCTGAGGAATAAGGAACGGGAAGCCTAGAGGGTCAAACTAGGCGAAAGTTGCCGGACTGAAGATGCCTTTGCTTTCAGATTCGTTTTGGTTTTGCTCTCCCACGGTTCTCTAAAAAGAAGAGCCCCCCGTAGAACGAGCCCACCACCTACTCTTTCAAATAGAGTCATGAAAATAGAACCGGACCTCAAGGTCATAGGGAAGGAGCACTTATTTGGGAATCTATACTTAAGAGTAGAGTAAGTGGTAACACTTTTTCTTTATCACGTACCGGCTCTCAACCCTTACAACAACCCTGTGAGATGGGAACTATTATTATCGCCGTTTATTTACGGGGAGACTGAGGCGTATGCAAGTTAAGTAACATTTGTAAAGTTACACAGCCAGTCCGGGACAGAGATGGGAGTTAAACCTAGATTACCTGGTGCAAAGTTTTTCTTTTTTCTTATAACAAGTTTACTGAGATTTAGTTCATATTCTACACAGTTCACCACTTTAGGTGTCCCATTCAGTGGTTGTGAGTGAGTATACCACAAAGTTGTGCAACAATAGGCATAATCATTTTTAGAACACTTTCATCAGCTCCAAAAGAAACCTTGTGCCCATTAGCTAGCACTCCCCCAGTCCCCACATTCCCCCCCGCCCTAAATAACCACTTATCTACTTTTTGTCTCCATGCTTTTGCCTTTTCTAGACATTTCATAGAAATAGAATCATGCAATATGTGTTTTTTGTGACTGGCCTCCTTCACTTGGCATAATACTTTCAAGGTTCTTCTATGCTGTAGCATCTATCAGCACTTCATTCCTTTCTATGGCCAAATAATAGTCCATCACGTGGTGTTAAAAGATAAGCTGGGGCATATTAAAAATTTTAAGAGATTGTTTGAACAAAAATAAATTCAAATCAGGCAACGTCCAATCTAGCAGACAGAAAGGGCGTTTATAGGCAGAAGGGAAGACTTGAAAATATAAATGAAAGATTTTCACAGGCAGAAGAGAGCAGGAACAAGGAAGTAATAGTGAGCAAAAAACACACTGGTTTGCATAAAGTTACTTTCCTTTAGGGGATGTCCCAGTTTATCAGTCAAATAAACTGGTTCTAATCAGGTGAGTTCTGATTGATGGGCTTAAGATTCTATTTCTGGGAGAGTTGAAACTGTAAATTGGGTTTTGTTTTGGTTACATGAGGCTTACACAAGTGACACTATCTGGGGCCTGTTGTCTTATTTTTAACAATGGATATGCCACATATGGTTTCCCATTTCTGTTGTTTCTGTCTTTTGGATATTATAAATAATGCTGCTATGAACATCCATTATCAGTTTTTGTATGAACATATGTTTTCACTTCTCTTGGCCATATACCTATGAGTAGAAGTGCTGGGCTGTGTGGTAATTCTGTGTTTAATCTTTCGAGGAAATGTCAGGCTATTTTCCAAAGCAGCTGCATGATTTTCATTCCCACTAGTAGTGTAAGAAGTTTCCAATTTCTGCACATTCTTACCGATACTTGTTATTTTCTTTTTTTTTTTTTTTAACGTGTATTCATTTTGAGAGACAGAGACAGAGCATGAGCAGGGGAGGGGCAGAGAGCAAGGGAGACACGGAATCTGAAGCAGGCTCCAGGCTCTGAGCAGTCTGCACAGAGCCCGATGTGGGGCTCAAACCCATGAACCCGTGAGATCATGACCTGAGCCAAAGTCAGATGCTTAGCTGACTGAGCCACCCAGGTAGCCCTTCTGGGTTTTTGTGTGTGTGTGTTTTAATAGCCTTGCTAATGGGTATGAGTGGTATCCCACTTTTGATTTGCATTTGATGAATGTTGAGCTCTCTTCATATGATTATTGGTCATTTGTGTATTTTCTTTGGAAAAATGTTTATTCAGATCCTTTGCCCATTTTTAACTGAATTATTTTACTACTGTTTTAAGAGTTCTTTACATAGTCTGGATATGTCTTTATCAGATGTATGATTTGCAAGCACTTGATCCTATTCTGTGGGTTTAACTTCATTTACTTAATAGTGTCCTTTGAAACATAAAAGTTGATTTTGATGAAATCTAATTTTTTTTCTTTTGTTGCTTGTGTTTTAGTGTTATATCTAAGAAACATTGCCTACCCCAAGGTTGTGAAGATTTATCCCTATGTTTGCTTCTAAGATTTTAACATTTTTAGCTCATACATTTAGGTCTTTGATTAATTTTGAGTAAATTTTTGTATATGGTATGAGTTAGGCATCTGATTTCATGGTTTTGGATGTGGATATTCAATTTGTCCCAGTACTATTTGTTTAAAAGGCTCTACTTTGCCCATTAAATGGCATTGGCATATTTGTTGAAGTCAGATGATCACAGATACCTGTGCTTATTTCTGGATTCTCAATTCTATTTCATTGATCTATATGTTTATCCTTACATCAGTACCGCCCTGTCTTGATCAATGTTGCTTTGCAGAAAGTTTTTTATTTTTTTTTTATTTTTTTTATTTTTATTTTTTTAAAATTTTTTTTTCAACATTTATTTATTTTTGGGACAGAGAGAGACAGAGCATGAACGGGGGAGGGGCAGAGAGAGAGGGAGACACAGAATCGGAAACAGGCTCCAGGCTCTGAGCCATCAGCCCAGAGCCCGACGCGGGGCTCGAACTCACGGACCGCGAGATCGTGACCTGGCTGAAGTCGGGCGCTTAACCAACTGCGCCACCCAGGCGCCCCTGCAGAAAGTTTTTTAAAATTGAGAAGTGAGTTTTCCAACCTTGTTCTTTTTTTCCAAAATTACTTTAGAAACTGTTATGAGCCCCTGTATTTCCATATAAATTTTATTATCAGCTTCTCAGTTGCTTCCAAAAAGGCAGCTGAGATTTTGAGAGGAATTGTGCTGAATCTGTAGATCAACTTCAGGAGTATCGTCATCTTTAACAACATTAGATCTAAAATGTGAACATGGGAGGGCCTTCCATTTGCTTAGGTCTTCTTTAATTTCTTTCAACAATGTTTTCCAGTGTTCAGTGTATAAGTCTTGTACTTATTAAATGTACGTATTTCTAAGTATTTTATTCTTTGTGATGCTATTATAGATGGAATTATTTTCTTATTTTCCTTTAGATTGTTCATTGCAAGGGTATAGAAACACAATTGATTTTTGTATGTTTATATTGTATCCAGTAGCATTGATGACTCAGTTTCAGCTTTAATAATTTTTGTTTTTTGTTTTTGTTTTGTTTTGTTTGTAGTTGTGTTAGATTTTTCTATATACAAGATAATCTGCAAAGAGAGACAGTTTTATTTCTTCCTTTATGGTTTGGAAGCCTTTATTTAATTTTCTTACTTAATTACTCTGGCTAGAACCTCCAGTGAAATGTTGAATTGAAGTGGTGAGAATGACCATCCTGTATTCTTCCTGTTCTTAGTGGAAAAGCATTCAGTCTTCCTGTATAGTTTATGATGTTAGTTGTGGGTGTTTTGTAAATACCCTTTACCAGGTTGAAGAAGTTCTCTTCCCTTTCTGTTTGTTAAGCATTTTTATCATGAAAGGACATTGGATTGTTTTGTTTTTTTCCTACATCTATCGAGATGATAAGTGCATTCTTTTAATGTGGCATATAACATTAATTAATATTCAGCCTTTAAAACAATCTTGCATTTCTCTAATAATCCCACTGGTCATGGTGTGTAATTCTTTTTACATGTTGCTGCATTCAGCTTACCTGTAGTTTTGCTCTAACCTCTTAACCAGTTTGCCTCTCTCTCATGCTCCATACAGTCTGTTCTCATCCCATTGGCTACAGTGTAGTGATCATTCCATTCTTCTTTTCATTTTTTTCCACTTTATTTATTTA